CGCCTGCCGGTGCATTTCTTCTGCTGATCTGGGACAACGCTCACTTCCGGTGGGGTCAAGACTTAACGGGAGGAATAAATTTAAAAGAACGGCGTATGCACCAGAGCGCGTGGATTCACGCTGGTGGTTTCTGCACGGTCCCTCCGGGCTTGCGGAGACAGAATCGTTACGGTGATTTTACACTCTGGCTTTTTCTTTCTTTTTTCCCCCCTGCAGGCTGGGAATGGGTTAAATGGGATGAATTTCCTCCAGCAGATCAACTGTTCTGGGCCCTGCGCTGTTTAAGAGAGCAAGGCTACAACCCCTTCACAGAAGAGCTGGATCATCTGAAGGGGTACACGGGAAGTCACCAGCTGTAGAGAGCAAGTCGTGCAACATGTAACCAACTACCGGGCAGAGCAGCTTTTTTGGTGTAAAAGAGGCTCACTTTGCCCACGTGAAAATATTACCCTTCCTAAAGCCAAAAAGATGCCAAAAGTTTCGGTGCTTTTACCATGTTTCACAACGGCTGTCGCTCATTTCTAGCTCTGGTGGTTAACGGTTAATGTTTTCTTTTGTACAAAACTCAGCGTTTTATCTGGTTAATCTTTATGTAGGTGAACAGCCCCTGGGAGGTCAGAACTGGTCAGAGGTTACTCACTTGGGAACAGTTGCATCCTCAGGCCCAAGAGAAACTTGGTTTGTTTAAACCCCTGTCCTGCTTTCTCTGTGAAGCTGCTTCGTGTGTCATGCTGCTTTCCTGTAACTAAATCCTGGACCAGTCTTTAAACTTAGCCTTGTCTCAGAGCTTCAGTTCAGACACTGTCACGGAGAAGTCACGTTTTGCAAAGAACACCTCATTCTCCTGCAGACAGTAGCACGTGCTTGAAAATCGGGGCATTAAAAACACGAGAGGGTTGCAGGGGCTTTTTGCAGGGAATGAAAATCCCCTGCCCCCTCCATGCCACCCCCTTTCAGTACAGAGATCTGTTTGCAGCCTCGGTCGCGCTAGAATTTCTCTGCAGAAGTGTTTCGGATCTCTGCAGTTGATCTTCGTTCCTGATCCCGTTGCTGAACTCTTTAGCGGAGAGGTGTCTACGCTGTTGTGCTAGGCTGACACAAACAAGGTTGTCCAAACTGACCGCATTTATAGGTGTCGCTCCGCAGCAGGCAGTCACACTTGGGGGTTAGAGAGTGTTGTCGGTATGAAACAGCACAGGTGGGTGTAATTCTGTCCGGTTACTGGGATTGGGTACAACGGTTAATTTTCAGTTTGACATGACTAAATGCCTGAATTGGTAGTGAAGGAAATCACAGTACACAAAGATACACACAAAACCAGTGAGTTCCTATTTTTCTAGAAATCTGTAACCAAATTTGATTATTGTCCACCTGCAGTCATCAGGACATCAGCAATTAATTTCAGGATATGACTTCTTTAAAATCACTAACTGGCCCTTTTTGGTTTTTTTTCCTCTTCAGGGTTCTTTTAAAACACAGGTTTTGCCTGTTTCCTTTGGACGTACCCATTGTACACAATGTTCTGAGATGTTTTTAATTTATTTGAAATTAAACATAAGCAAATACTGAAAGATTAAAATTGTCTGGAATTATGCATTGACTCGTCAATTCTTAAAAGAAATCCCCTTGAAGGGTTTAAAGCTCTTCCTCACTTTGCATATGGAGATGGCTCTTTTTGGCAAGCAGCAGACGGAGCGGTACGAGGTACACGGATGCTACCAACGATTGCAAGCCTCCTGCTTAGAATTTGAAGTATTAACTGCACGCAACTTCCCTTTGGACAGATATTCTTTCTCTGAAGTGAATAAAGAAGATAATGTTATAAAGCAGTTTTGAAGTGGGAAATATCGCTGAAAATTCCTTTACTGCTGTATCTTTGTAGAAAGCTTATTTTTCCTATTCAAAAGTGGAGATTTTCTTCCTGAAAGCAACTTTATGTACACTGAAAATTACTCCATTCAGCTGTCACCAAAGAGGCTGTAGGAAGAGTTGACAGATGTCCTGCCCATCTGTCCCAAAGAATAATGAAAAAAAAAAAGATTGAAATTATTTAGTGCAATTCTAAATTTCAGAAGGCATCTAGCTCCTAATGGGAAAACCAAGGTCACTGTAAAATGGTTTGTCATGCAATATTTTGTTACCGGTAACGGTTATATTCGTTCTGTCTGTTGTAAATATACAAGTAGTTACTGAAATGTGGACACAACCAGCACCTCCGTACGTCAGGGTTTCTGTGTCCTTTCCAAGTGGACTGATTAAATGACTATGGTGCATTACTGCAATCAGTTGTCAGCAATCCCTAACTTAAAGAACTTGCTTTGTAGATATCATCCGTTTGTAATTTTTTTTTCCCCCCCAGAAAATCTGATTCTCAGCAGTTTTTAACTGCTCAGTCCTTTCAACTAAACATGTTTACTTTTGACTTTTGGTACTTTTGCTAAATAGGAAAATCTATTATGGACGCATCTAAGCCACGGAGTAACAGAACACGCAATTAAAACTGTGCTTTGCTAAACTGCTTGTAATAGAATTCATCTAAAATGGCATTATAGTTATCCAGCATTGAGAAAAATACTCCTGAACAGTCTATCATTTGGAGCACTGATGTAAAAAAAACTGGTTCGGATGCATCTTATACCCAAAGTCTGATTTTATGCTTAGTGGGCAGAGCTCTCATCTTACCTGTTTCTTAGATGTACCCCATCAGCCCCATTTAACCCTTTAACAGACCAGCAAACACTCCGAAAAAGATGTGGTCATTGCTTCCATTCAGTCTTCTGTCTGGAAACAATCACCCACCTCCACATTTCAGTTAGTGAACCACATGATATAGCCACGTAACAGTTTGGGGCAGACTACATTACACTTCCCGTGACTATTAATTATCTCTATTTGTATTTCATTCCACGAAAAGAACGTCCTTATAAATGAGAAGACAAAAGAGACTAGTGAGCTGTGGGTGCATCATAAAACATGTTAAGGGAGGCGCATTTAGGGAAGAAAACATCCCAGGGTACCAAGCATTAAGAAACTGCATTTTGCAATATTGCAAATCAAATCGCTGCAAATATTGCAATATCAGAAAATGATTCTGATCACACATGTTCAAGAAAAAACAACATAAACTAGAACAGGTATAGGCAAGGGTAACTAGGATGACAGAGAGGCCAGGTGTATGGGGATTAACATGAATTAAAGAGGAAATACTGTTCTCTACAAAGATACTGGGGGTAAGCACCAAGGAGGAAAAGCTGATACTGAATAAAAGTTAATATATATACATGGATATGAATAACTTTAGACTCAAAAATAGAGGTGAAATTTTAATAACTCTGAAATTACTTCCAAAAGGAACAGCTGAGACAAAACCAAATTCCCCATTGCTCTTTTAAAACAAACAACATCACCCCGCATTATGTGTCCTTTCCATTTCTACCTCCTTATAGGACTTGTACCCATGTTGGTCGTGCATAGCAGTGTTACTGACAGCAATATTTGGAAGATTGTCTGGGCAAATGAGGAAGGACCGGATTTATCAGATACTTCCTGCGAGGAATCTACAAAATGGAAAAGCGGAGAGAATTTGGATCTGTGCTTCAGGACGCCTCATTGCAGGGCAGGAACCTGTAAGTGCCATGAGCAACAGTTCACGTAAGTAATCCTCTGATCAGATCAGAAAACTAAAGAGAAAAATAGCTGTCATAAAATGAGTCCTCAAGCAATATGGAACAAGGAAGGGAAAGCCAAGGGAAGTGCCTCTGGGAAGACGAAAGAGGCAGGAAATGCAACTGCTGAAGCAAATTAGCAGGTTCAAAGAACTGAAAAAATTATAGGCGACAAGAACAAAGAATCCATGAGCACTTTGAACTGAAAGGAGCTGAACCCGCAGCGTGCCCCAAAGCGTGTCACCTCCAGGGTCCCAGGATGCTCAACCCAAATGTTGGCGAAGCCTTGCGAATGGGCAGCCTACATCACTGCCTCAGGGCCTGCCCAGTTACACCTGTACCTGAAAAAGCTCAGCTGAAAAGGACAGACTTTCAGTTCCTGAGTCCTCAGCTGCTTCTAGTACTCACCTGGCATTTTGCAAAGGGGAAAACGGAGTACAAACTTCTGAAACTCAGTCAGAATTCAACCACATACTGGGATAAAATGTGCTGACTACTGAAATTACACAATAACTCATCTAGGATTTAAGTTTGCAAAATGAAACGTAAAGTTACATCAAAGCTGAGTTTATTTATGACAAATCATTAATTTTATATTACAATAATTACAAACTTTTATTACATCTTATTGCCATATTTTTGTTCTCGGCACACACAAGATGATCAAGAACATGGATTTAGGCAGTAACAAAAAAAGGTATTAAAATTACAAATTTCATGTCTCATTTCTGTGCCATAGAAAAGGCTATCATCAAAAGAGTAAAGTTACTAAGAAACATACAAGGAGATTCCCCTTACACCTTTTTTCCCAGGAATTTTTGTCATCTAATGTATAGTAAATATATATATATATACACGCACCTCTTGCAAACGGACACATTCACACATTTACACAATCACTGGAAATTTGACATCTCTCCTCCAGCAGAAAGCTCCCAGTCATTTTACTTGAACACCTAATTGAAAAAAAAAAAAAAAAAAATTCTGAAGTTTTAAATGTCACCCTATTTCTGAGCCAGCTGTTACCTTCTCCCTACACAGGGCCACCAGCAAAACAAAAGGGTATTGCAGTGTGTGCCAAACAGCATCCAACCTACCTTCACCACAGGAAAGGTCTACTAAGGATACTGCCCCTCTTGTACCTAGTCTGAGTCACTGCTGCTGCTTGAGGAGTCTGTTGACATAACTTCTACATCATCTTCATTCTCTTTATTGTGTCCTGGAGGCTCCAACATGAAGTCATTACTATGATTAGGAGGTAGCATGTTCATTGACATATCACTTGACTGCCAAGGATACTGAGGAGCGAGCACGTCTGGAAAAAAGGGGCAATCAATCAATTAAACTATCAGCTTTGTGTATCAAGAAACTCAACAAGAGAGCTCAACTAGAACTCAAATTTAAAATTAAACCAATTCTTAAAATCCTTCCTGAACTCTGGAGAGATTAAAACCCTCCAGTAACAGCTGAAAAACATCTCACGATGGAGCCATGCTTTCACTGTAAAAGCTTACTCTGCCACAGAGGCCCATTTACATAGATGGTTCTTGATCTCTCACCACTCTGCTTCAGAACAGTATACGTTCATACAGAACTTTTCACCCTCAAAGCACAGTTTGAACTGACTTTTAACATTCACAGCCGCTGGCAGTAATGAAAATGGTCACCCTCCATCAGTACGCAAAACACGTTAAAACATTAGATCGAAAAAAAACCCTTAAGGTCGACTATAGAAATTCAGAATAAAAGATTTTATCCAAATTTGGCTGAAACACCTTGGTTATCATTTTTCCAACAGCAAATATGGTGCCTTGAGTGCAAAGGAGAAGAGTGTTCTACTACAAAACCAGGGCCACAGATACTTGAGGTGGGAATGCCCCACCATGCCCCAGCCAGGCCAGTCTCAGTTGCCTCTGACTTAGAATCGTTGAATCATTAAGGTTGGAAAAGACCTCTAAGATCATCAGGACTTCTCTCAGCTTTCGCAGTTTCTTCTCCTACTTCCAAAGCCATCTCATACTGTACTCCCTACCAACCCACCCTCCTCCCACAATATTTCCTAGTCTGTCCCTTCCTTGCCCCCAAAATGGCTCCCATTTCAAAGCTGCAGTATACATCTATACGTCATTTCTGCTCCCTTCCTTCTAATTCCTGCTCCTACTGCTGCGCTTCAGTTCTTCTCCACTTACTACCAGGCACTGTAGCTAAGTCTATTCCACAGAAGAAAACAGCTATCTCCTGCTTACAGCAAGAATTAAAAATCAGGCAGAGTCAGAAGTGAACAAAAGCCCATCCACGTGGGAGACTGGGTACAGAAAGAGAAGGCACTGTCTAAGCAGGGGGTCATATATGGTAGATTTACTCTCACTCAGGTGCTGCCTAACTCAGAAGCACACAGACTGCACACACGTAGTAGCTTCTGATCTTTAAGTCTACGAACACCTGAAATTGCACACATGAACCATAGCCACAGCCTCCTAATACCAGATACACCACGTAGCTGTACAAATCTGACCCACCTCCTAAGAGGTGACAATAGGATTAGACAGATGATCAGAAACACAAAACCCAAGTTTACTATTTCTCCAACAGAGTCATGATACAGGTTTTTTAATACATTCAGTATAATTTTTGAAAACAAGCTTTCCATAACACCTGCAAGTGGCTTAACAGACAGGTAAGAACTGTTACAGATCTCCTATGAATTCAGACTAAGGATTTCTCCACAATTTAATCTAACCATGATAGATTAATGCTGCACAGGTACAGAATCACTGAATTCTTGATTCAGTTACTGTAATTTACTGCTAAATTCTATTTTAGCATGAATCCCACTGAAGTCAATGGAAGTGCCTATTTCACTAAGCAATTAAGGGACAAAAGCTCGATTCCTACACTCAAGGTACTACCTCACCAGCTGTCCTTTGAAATGTCCTTTCAATCCAGAACTAACAGTCTTGCTACATAGAGCTTAAAGGAAGGTAGGGGATGACAGTAAACCTTTCTCCCAAAAACAGTTTTCACAATTCCATACTTTCTGTCATCATTGCCTTAAAGGAAGGTAGGGGATGACAGTAAACCTCTTTTCTCCCAAAAACAGTTTTCACGATTCCATACTTTCTGTCATCATTGTTAAGAAAAGTTCGCTTTGAAAATGCTTCATTCTACTATGATTTGGTATCACTTAATTCACAGCAACTTAAAATAAGTGAATTGAAGGGTAACTGAGTGAGTTTTGTTTATACTGACTTAGTTGTAGTGTCTGCAGTATGACTTAGCATCAAATAAAATAAAATTATGCGGTTTCTAATCGTTGATTTTATTTACCAGATCTTCACTGCTCGGCAAGGTTAGCCATAGCTTTCATTATTTTATCTCTGATTTGCCTTTGCTAAGGTAAACGTATAATTGCTATGACTGTACAAGCAATAAAGAAAAGCTGAGTTCCTCTTACCTGGCAGTCTGCCCGCTGCAAGTGCATCCCCTGGTAAGTGTCCATTAACTCCATTGGTGGATGGGTTGTTCATCTGACCCAAGAGACCACTCCTCATTTCCAGATCTGTAGGATATGGCCTACGTGGGTCCCCTTTAAGAAAAAAGGAAAAAAAAAAAAAATCAAAGGAATGTTTTTAAATATTTAACAATTGTCTTGCAGACATTCACTTTTTCTTCAGTGCCTATTTTCCTGACCAAAAAAACCCAACCCCATGCTCTGATTGCTTAGGTCAGCAATGAGCATCACACCTGTTCTGTTAAAATCCAAGTCTGCGTCTTTCACTTAAGACTTTCTTTGTTCATTCAAACCTGGCAGAAAAAGCACATTTAAAAAAAACTAAACCAAAACAAAAAATGTTTAGAAGATATCTTTGCTATCCCTGCTACTTCATAGCTAAACAGCAAGGACAGGAATTGGAAAGAACACATTCCTACTTTCAACAAGGAGGATAGCTCCAAAATTGAAACGTGACATAATGAAAGCCCTGCTTCTGACTGCACTGATCACTAACGTGCCCTGAAAAGAATGGTATAAGGGGCAGGAGGGAACAGAACCAAACACATGGAAAAGCCTTTAACATACTTGGTTCTAACTTATAACTGGGGCCAACATTCAGAGGAAAAGAGCAAACAAAGGAGAGCAGAGGAGGCCGGTCAGTTAACAGAAGCGTGCAGTTTAATAGCCTTTTGCAGACGCACATAAAGCCTACAGGACTTTGGATATCCTTTTTTGTTGAAAATATTAGATATAACAGCTGAAAACAATGTTACTGCAATAAACTCCAGTGTTTTTCACCGCATAAAAGCATTATAAGACCAGGTACTGACCATGCTTTATTATTAAAAAAAAAAAAAAAAAAAAATCTACTGTCATAAACATGATAGTTACCTGGCACCCATGTCAGAGGGGCACAAACAGCATTGCTAGCACTGATCCGGTGGGCATATTTAATAATTTCTTCAGAGGAAATGGCACCTGGAAGAACAGATGAAAAGTTACTATATTCTCAAGAGATTGCATCACTCAATTATTTCAGAATATTGGACACTAATGTCTAAAAGATTGGGAATGTAATTTTGTCAAACATTAAGATCATGGTTCAAAAGCAATGACTGCTTAGAGGATTCTTTGACTATGCAAGGACGAGCTTGTAAAATCAGTGAACTGATTTTACAGCCACAAGTTCAGTACGCCTTCAACGGCAACAGTTCTTCAACCTTGTGAAAAACACAAACCAGTCTCTTAAGCAGTGTACTTGACAGGCACAATTTGTAAGAAAACTTCAGCACCTGCTTTACTATGGAATCTTCTGTAGTCAAAAATTTTTTTTGTTTGTTTAGTAATTGTAGAGCGTGCATGTAGCAGCCCTTCTAAATAAGTGCCTGTATTACAGTAACAAAAACATTATAAAATTCCTTGGGTTTTTAGATGGAAGACGTATAACAAAACAATAAAAGACTCTGTAAAACACCACCAAGAAAATGCCTCCCACAAAATAAAAAGTCAGTTTAGCTTGGTAAGCGCCAGAGAGCAGCATGAATTGCTACACATACAAACCAGTATCACCAGATAGTCAGTCTTTTAAATACAATGCACAAGCACACAAACATTCTCTCCCTTTCCTCAGCAGACCTACTGAGGCAATTTGGTGAGACGCTTGGGTAATCACATATACTATTATCAGTCCAAGAAGAGTGTTGAGACACTTAAATTTGAGTTTAATATTAAGATACGTTTGCCACAAAAAGTAATTCATTCCTGCCTTTATTCTGACGAAATGGTTATAGGTTCATAATGAAATGGAAATTTGTTTACACATAAAGCATCCAAAACCTGTGATGGTGGAATTAAAAAAAAAAAAAAAAATCCACACCCTAACTTGAGCACACTAGCAACTTTCTTTACAACTGCATTTACGTAGTATGTACAATCAAGGATACTCACCTTTTCTTGCCTTTTCAATTGATTTCAGCTTTTCCTTTGCTTGATAAACAGCTGTTGCCTGGTTTAAAAAAAAAAAACCAAAACCAAGAAACAAATTAAACCAAACCTTCAGTGCATCTTTAATTTGTAAACTTCTACATAAAAGTCAGCTCTGTGAATAAACCCTTGCATTTAATTGTATTTTAAGAAATAAACTATTCAGTGAACATTTTCAAAATATATAGAAATAAAGTAGGCTTGGAAGAAAATTAGCATTATAAACCAAAACTGAATACCGCGATAACTAAACAGTATTTGACTACCGAAAAAAAGGAAGAAACAAACCACTAAGCTCTTACAAAGTTTTAAATATTTAAATCTTCTCAAACTGCACAACACCACTTTCTTCAGAACCACCTTTCTCACAAGTAGACGCTCAAAAGCAGACACATCGTTATGAACTTACCAGTATATGCTCTGCTTCTTTTAGTTGTTTCTGCAGCTGCTGAATATCATTATCCCTCTTTTCTACTACTTTTTCTAAAAGCTGCATTTCATGATGGATTTTCCCCTGATCAACTGCCAACTTCATTAGCTCTTGAAATTCTCCATCTCTCTGAATCAGCAGTTCCAGGATCTATTGAACAAGAGTTTTGTAGAACTTTTAATTTAGCTAGAGTAACAACACGCTCTCAGTCGTGCTGTAAAGAAGAGCAAGTGACATCCATAGAAGTATTTCTGTTTGCACGAAAAATGAAACAAAATTTCTTCCTCTGTTTGCAGAAACAGCCTACGAAGCATACAACAAATGAACAAACAAACAACATGAGGATCAAGAATGCCATTGCAGTGGGGCCAAAACCTCATCATCACCATTAGCCTGAGCATAGGCAAGGACAAAGGGAGAAAGAAAGAAAGGAGGGAAAAAATTAGAAGTAAAGCATTGTGCTTACCCACAGAAACACAGTTGTGAAAGTCAGCTTACCTGGCTCTCCTCTCCCGGTTGTGGAAGCTTCTGGTTTCTTGAAATTGCCAACATTTCAATTAGTTCCCTGAAAGGAAAATTCTGCGTTTGCACATTTTTCTACGGCATTATTTGTAAATCACAACAAGTCATCCCAAAATTGTCAGAGTACTGATATCACTACAAAAATGTTCACAGATTTGAGAATTTATAGTACAGTGCTAGAAGGGATTTCTCAACTAAGAGTAATTCTGTGAATAGGCTCAAGATTGGAGCATTGTTTTCTTCTTTGTTCTTTGAGCTCATGAAGTGCTCATGTGTATTTGTACTCACAAAATGTGCTAAGTTCCTGCCAAACTATGCAAAACACAAGCAGAAGCCGAGAGAAGAAACGGCACAACGAAACACATTCATACTCTACTCCTACAGCCTTTGTTGCAAGAGGGCACAAAAGTTGTCTTCACTATTTTACTTCTCTACTTTTCCTCTGTTTTTCCCCCAACAGAGAAAGCTTCACACTTGGGTTTAGAGCAATTAAGTCTACACTTTCAAACACTCAAAAAGTTTGTTGTGAAACTACTTTTACAACAAGTATTTCCACAACTGATCCTTTGCTGGTCCAGTGCAAGCAGCTCAGCTGGACGTACGACTAATACAGCAGTGGGGCCAGAACCTTAAAATGGAAACAAGTACTTTTCAAAATGTCTGAAAAAGCCCCCCACCAGTAAAGCTCTAAATAGCGTCTTGCTCTATGTCTCTTCGTCACTCCTGAACACTAAAATGATTTAAAACAAAGAGAATAAAGCAGCTTGTCATTATCACTAAAGCTTTATTCCACCTGATCAACACTGAGCAGCAGCAAAAAAAAATCTGTTGTAAGTAGGTCAACTACCACCATCAAGGCTGATATCATGGACAGTTGTAATTCTATCCTGTGTTAGCCAGATAATGCACAGGCACAGATTTGAAAATATACAAAGGCTACAGATTAGACACGTTGCTCCATTTTTGCCCCTACCACCAATCCAGCACCATGACTGTGAAAGGCCACAGTGCTGCAACACTTTGCTGATCAACAGGAAGACTCACTAAATGCTGCTGAAGGTTGCTCTGGATGCATTATGGTAGAATATTAGTCCCAAGATTTAAAAACAAACAAAAAAGAAGTTTAGATAAAGAACAAGTGGTCTGTTTTGTTTTGTTTTCCTCAAAAAACACATGTTCTCCAGCAAACCATATGTCACAATAAAATCTAAATCTGAAAATAAAACCTAACCAGAAACATGAGCGATTGATGCAATACGTTTTCCTTGTTCTACCAGCAGTAATCATACAGTAAGCCAGCCACATAGGTAGCATGGGTTCTTCCCTCTGAAAAAGTTTTCTTAACCTCCTGTTCTCCTCGAGAGGAGGAACCAGTTTAACCGCACTGCCAGCTGGGCCTCCACAGAATCACAGAATGTTAGGGGCATGGTGGACATGAGGGTTACTGGTCCAGTCTCAAGAGCATGGACCAAGTATCTGAACATTTATATCACTCCGAGGACGAGCTTAGTCTACTTTTGACCGAGCTTAACACTAATACAGGCAATGACCAGAACGGCTTAAGTCATGCAAAATCTACAAACTTCTGACTTAAGCATTATTTTTAACAACTACTAAAAAGCCTAAAATCAGCGTGTGCGCATTTCACAAGAAATGCAGTCAAGAAAAAAATGCAAGTGGAAGAGTAAGGGAGCTCTCCTTCTGCTCTGAAAACGAGAAATGAAGTACGGCCGATGCTTTCCTACCCGGGTGAGAGCTGCGGGGCAGAGCGCAGGACCGGGCCGAGCCCCACGGCGCAGCACCCACCCCGCTCCCGCAGGAACCGGCCTGGGGGCAGCAGGAGAACGCCTGTCCCGGGGCCGGGCCGGGCCCTCCTCCCGCCCCGCAGCCCGGCGAGACGTCGGGTCAAGCCAACCCCCTCCCAGACCAACCCCGGTGACACCCGCTCCTCTCGCCATCCCCGTAGGAGGCTCCGCGCCCGTACAGCGCCGAGCACCTTCACCCCACCCCGGCTCCCCGCCG